TTCTATTATATTCACCAGTTTATTCTGTTCATCAGATTATTTATTCACTTGATTTTTATATATTTTATTTTTTTAATAAATCTTTATTGTTCAGATTATTACAGTTGTTCCACTTTTTTCCCCCCATAGCTCCCCTCCACCCAGTTCCCACCCCACTCTCTGCCCTTACGGTCCCCCCTCCCCACTGTCCTCATCCATTAGGTGCACACTTTTTGTTGCCTGATCAAAGGTCATACCTGTGGAAGATGTAGCTATTTTTCCATTTGAGTTGTGTCCCTGTGTTCGGAAAGTTGTCTCACGACTTGTTCATGCTCTACTCAGAAAGGGTACAGAGACACGTAATGGCTTTTTAAAATAATGTGTCCTCTTATGTTTAAAATGAGGGTTTTGATACCAAAAGTGAGAAGAAAGCAACTCTACAGCTGCCCTTGCCTCTCTCACCCTTCGTGTGATAGTTGTAGGTGGGGATGCGGGCTGGTTCGCGGGCCATCGAGGAAGCCATCTGGGCGGCTCCCATGGTTCCACTGGCCTCCCAGGGACCATCTCAGCCTTCCAGCCTCCCAGGGACCATCTGGGCCTCCCAAGGACCGTCTCAGCCCCCCAGGGACTGTCTCAGCCTCCCAGCCTCCCAGGGACCTTCTTGGCCTCCCAGGGACCATCTCAGCCTCACTGGGACCGAGTCAGCCTCACTGGGACCGTCTCTCACTTGATTTTTAGATTCACTTGTTGATAGATGTGTATTTGTTGTTCATAATTTTTATCTTTACCTTTTTCTTCTTCTTTCTCTTCTTAAAGGACACCTTTCAGCATTTCATATAATGCTGGTTTGGTGGTGAGGAACTCCTTTAGCTTTTTATTATCTGTGAAGCTCTTTATCTGACCTTCAATTCTGAATGATAGCTTTGCTGGGTAGAGTAATCTTGGTTGTAGGTTCTTGGCATTCATCCCTTTGAATATCTCTTGCCACTCCCTTCTGGCCTTCATAGTTTCTGTTGAGAGAT